GAGGTTAGAAAACGAAGCCTGCTCAGCGCTGGTACTCTGGCAGGGTTGGAAGTGAGAATGGCACTAAGGAATGGGTCTGCTGTAGAGTCAGTGTGTGGAGGCTTTGGACCCCTCTTGACAGGCTTCTTGACAGACCCCTCTTGAAGGACTAAATTGCATTGACTCATTCCAGGGGATGAGTTGGGGGCAAGGGTCCTCCCTGCTCACAGAGGAAGGGGCCTGGGGAAATCCCACCCACAGTTTCTTCGGCGTGGCTGGAAGATGCTCTGGAGAAGCTTTGTTTTATGCTGTTGGCAGTCACTGTAAGCAAGGAGAGCTTTTGCAGTTCCCTGGTACTGAGTTCAGGACACAGCCAGTGGAACAAATTTTAAGTGTATGTCTGGCCTTCCCTGAAAAGATGAGAAAAGTGCGTGTATGTATGTTGGGTCATGCCACTTGTCAGCTTCTCCAGCTTGTCCTGGCACTTCCTCCGTTCCACTGTGCCATGCTTCAGGGATGGGAGTTTCCAGCCTGGCTCAGGTACTCTGGCTGAAGCTTTCAAGACAGATGCCACATTTGAACTTTTAGCTGTGAGCAAGTCTTCCAGTGAAAACAGACTTATGCTGTGCCTGGCAGAGGATTAACAGGGTTTTTGTGCATGTAGGTGAAAGAGCTGCATACAGGGCAAAAAGTGAGTTGGTCTGAATTCTCTTCTCTTGGGAAAGTCGTGCCTCTCCAGAAGCAGCTCACCAGCCTGTGGGGGAAGTCTAAATGGAGGGAGAAGAAGGTGTGCGACTGCAGCAGAGATTGGTTTGCATTTATGAGAGTCGTGCAAACCAGAGTCCACATCTGCTCTGGCCCCGCTGTGCTCTGTTCCCCCCATATCAAGCTTCTCCCGGTTTCCTTCCTTACTTTCCTTCTCACTAGAGCCTCTTTTCCCATAAGCTCATCTCAGTTTGTGGAGTTCAAAAATCTGGCCTTGATCCATTCCTGATACACCGTATTTCCTTGTTTTACCTGGTGTGTGCTGCTTTTGTTGCCAGTGCTTGATTATACCACCTTGTGTGCCCTTATTCCTGCTTGCCAGCTTTTGTGAAGTGGGATGTGCTGAAATGTCTGAATTTGGTGTGGGGCTTTTCTTAAGTTCCTCTGGAAATTTCAAGGGGAAATACATTCTTTAGTCCCAAATACTGCCTTAACCTTTCCTTACAAGTAAGAGGAGGTAAGTTTGAGCAGCACCTAACGCAGTGGAGCTGTCGTCTTCTGGGGTCTGTGGTGCAGAGAGTTGCAGGGGTGCGTAATCCATCGTTACAAGCTGGCTGGTGAGATTCACCTGTGGCTTTGGGCTGCCCTTTAGCTCTATCAGCAGGTGGAGTCCTGGGGACTCGCTGGCCTCTCTAGAGAGGTATGTCTGAAAACACACACTGAGAGTGTTTGCCAGGAGATAACTGCATTCCAGGGAGTGACTCTTTTGTCTTGCTAAAATCGAGGAAATCTGATCAAAGTGCAGCCTTGCTTTAGACTTTTTCTCTTTCTTTTTGACTTTGTCCCTGACCTACATATTGGATCCTGCCACGCTGGTTGGAAGTAATTGAGACTGTAGTGTTAGGCTATTTACCAAGCTGTTCACTTGAAAATAACCTTACTGTGGCCAGTCCACACCTGTTCTGGGCTAATTCTGGAGGCAAATAACAAAGCCCCATTAACCCTCTCAGCCACATGCAACCTGTTCAAGATCTAACTGTAGAGTGAGGTAATACCTCTGCTGATGCCAGGAGGAATTTGTGACACAGGGTGTGCTTCGTTCTTCGTTTCCTGGCTCCATGGATGATTCCAGCCAGCTGCTGAAGCCAGGCCCACTATGTGTCCACATCCAAATGAGGACACTTCAGAGACCTCCTTGTAAAAGTTCCCGCTGGGTGGTTGTTGGTTTGGTGTCGAGTCTGCTGGACCAGAGGTTATGCTGGAAAATATGTGTGTGAGGGGGTATTTTCTTTGTTATCCCAGTGGTTGTTTCTGATTAAAGGATCTGTTTTGAAGGGGCTGCTAGTCAGTTGCCTAGAAAACTTGCTTTCATTTAATTAATCATGATGAGTTTAGTCTGGAGGTTTTGTAGGAGAGAGCAAGCAAGCATATCCTTGGCTTCTTTCCCTTGGAAAAAAAAGCAGGGTTTCATGTCTGAAACTGCAGCTCTTTTGTCTCCCCAGGTTGACATCCTCCTCTGTCCTTCGGGTTTTAATTTTACAAGCCATGCGCTTGCAGAGGTAGATCCAGTTTGAAGTCCATCCAGGTGTGGAATGAGGAAAGAACCGTCAAGAAGATTACAGGAGCTATTCTGCAACTCATTAACTCAATCTCTTCCCCTTCTTGTTATCTCCTCCCCGTGCCTGGGGCCTTTTGAACTAGTGCTCTAAGTGCTTCTCACTTAATCTAGCCCACCTGGACAGGTGTATGAAGAAAGGAATTGCCTTCCGGGGAAGGACTAAAGGAGCATAGATTGCAGAGGGAGTCTGCTTTTGGGAACTGCTAATCCCAGTTTAACATTATGACAGCTGCTCGTTAAAATCAGGGTGTTTTTTAACAGGCAGTTAAAGGAGAGGCTTTGCACGCACATTTAGCTGAGAATAATAGTGAACCATGTGCATTTGATTTTTTTTTTCTTAAATCACGCAAATTGTACATGGAAAGAATTCTCCGGCGTCAACTTGCTGGGGTATGGAATTTACAAGATTTGCAGTAACATACAGTTTCCTGTTGAGGCGGGGAGAAAATTACAAAGCCTTCTTTTTTCTTTTTTTTCTTTTTTTTTTTTAAATCAAGTTCAAACCTTTCGTATAAATCCGGCCTCTTTGGAAGGTATACTTACTGTATTGGGGTTTTTCAGTTGTCTTGGTGGCAGATTGTCATGTAAACTTGTCTAGGTTCTCATTTTTATGGCTACATGTAAAGGCTGCTTATAAACTACAATTTTGTATATGGTGCGAAGGCAGCATGCAGATCTAATTTGGGAGAGTCTATATACAAAGAAAGAAGCAGAGGTTTCTTTGCCTTGGGGAGATGGCTGTTTCTTCCTAGTTGAACTTCAGTAAACTTGGTCTATTAACATGATTTTCTCTGCAGGACTGTGGTGTTGGATAAGAAACATGAAGAGCTGAGGCAGAGGAGGGACTATCAAAGAGACATTTGCTGTATTTTATGTAATTTCACTGCAGACTTTACCAACTGCCTCCCAGATCAGCAGTTAGTTGCTGGTTGATTTCTTGTAGGCAGTGCTGTGGAAGTAAGAAACTGTGCAGCTCCTACATAAGCCCCCAGATCCACTCAAGGAGCTGCGTCCTTTTCTGCCAGCCCTCAGGCATGAGGCATGAAGGGCAGGTCTGTGATGCAGAAAGATATAAAATTGCCCTGGGTAGTTTTGTTGCTGGAAATCCTTACTCCTGCAGCTACTTAGGTTCAGGCAAATTAATTTAACCCACCAGGACTGAGCAACTAGCCTCAGAATGGGAGTTTCTCTGCTACATTTTTGGCAGCTCTACTCCAAGTCATTTGTGGATGGGAACATCCTTTCTGTCTCCCTGGGAAATGCCAGTCTCTTGCGGCCTTTTCTTCAGCTGGCTGTATTGCTACCTAGTATTTTCACGTGTGTTTCCAGCAGCCGAATCTCTATCTGTTCCCTCTCTGTTTGACAGAAATCTGGCCGTTTCAGAGCTAGAGATGAGCTGGGAATTTTCCAGACACACATCTGTATAAGAGAAGTTTGTTGAGCAGTGAACTCCTCTTTTGACCCAACACAACTTGGTTCAGCCTCAAGGGACTGATGCTGCCGGTTTGACTCTGCCTCCTTTAGAGTGATAATGAACTGGCCCTTGTCACACGGTTCGGAGGAAGCATCTTGGTGGCATGGGGCTAATAGTCACAATTCTTTTAAGGGTGTAACTATTAAGCTGTAGCATAACTTCCCTTTACCTCCCAGCTTTAAAAGGCTGAACTCTTGTTATGCTACACTGAGTAATACTCTTTCTCTTCCCCCATGTTCTCTTACTCACCAGGTTGCTATCATGTAGAGTACTTGCGATGGGCATTTGGACTCTTTTTGTATAGCTCTTTTTACATCATATAAATGGCTTTAACTTTTGCTGATCTCTTCCTCTGCTCTGTAGTTACAACCCTGCTGCTCCTCTCTCATGTTGTCGTATCAGGCCTCGCGCTTGCAAGGTCTGGGATGTGTGGTGGAAGGCAGACCCAGTAGTGTGATGTTGGCAGGAAGAGCTGGGAGCGCAGATGAGAATGCAGATTTCTCTAAGAGGGGACCAGAAGGCTAAGGCTGTAGATTCAGAAACTGGAACCCAAAATTCAAGTGGCAAACAGGGATACTTGTGTGCGTTTCTGTTAGGGCAAATTCCTGTGGTGCCAAGACAGATTTTCTGCAACTTGGATTAAAAAGGAGGCTGCAGCACACGTGTGTGTGCGCACATGTGCACGGGCACACTTAAATGCTTATCTGCAGATCTGAGCTTTCTAAACTTGCTTGTGCTCTAATTGCAGAGCATAGACTCTGCATGCAGAACAATCCCAGGCTCAGCCCCGAGGGAATGCCTGGCACTGCTCTGGCCTGATTTTCTTAATGGCTCTGCAACTTGCCACTGGTTTGTAGGTGGTTTAAATTATTATCTCTGAGCACCTTGCCCAGCTTGGGCAGAGCTCTTAGGATCTCTGGTCCTCTAAGAATACCTGTATGTTGCGATTTATTTATTTATTAAGACTTCTTCCTCCCTCCCCATGTTAGGCCCAGTTTGCGCTTGTATCAGCTCAACAGACTCACTGAAAAGGGGTGCAAGCCCAGCCTGCGCTCCCCACTGACATGCAGGAGAGTGGGAGACCTTGACTTCCAGCTGCTCCCCCTGCCTCCTCTGAACAACCTTCCTTGCTCCCACCGCTGCATGATCTATATCCATGCAATCCCCTTCTCTTGCACTGGAGAATTGGTGTTCTCCTCGGCTAATAACCTGTCTCTCATTTAGTTTCCAGGCGGACCGCCCTGCATTAAATGTCGTCATTTTCCCTCTGCTTCATGAGGACTTGACAGAGGTCATCAGGGATGTCCCCATGCGGCACTTGGATGAAATTACCTTGTTTAAAAGCAGAGTGGCCGAGGAACCTCCCAACTTGTGGTGGTGACTGTCACAGCATGGAAAGGACAGTCAGCGTGAACACATGAAATAGTTTCTTGTTGGCCTGGATTCCCCATCTTCAGCTCCTGGCCACCTCACTGGATGCTGTACAATCACTTCAAATAGGTGCAATTGCAAAATAAAAAAAGCCGGCCCTTTGCAGTGGGGAAACATCTATTGGATATTGCTTGCATCTGAAAATCCTGTCTCAAAGGCTTCTGGAATCTGATGAGTATTTCCTTGCGGTTAATATGAATTGCTTTGTTGTTTTACTGAAGTTAAAGGTAAGAGAAACTGACTTAATGATGCTCTTTCCCCTGTGTCACCTGTATTTCCTAAGGGCCCCTGTGTACTTTGGCAGTGTGCTTTGTGATATTGGTGGAACTCATTCTTTGCTTTGGTCGATTTTTGGCAAGGTAGAAAGCCTAAGCCAGCAAAGAGGCACAAAAATGTGTTGCTCAGTTGAAGTGCATCACATCTTTTCTATGTTACAAATACGCATCTGTAGTCACACACATGCAATCACAGATATTTAAAGGTTGTTTTTGATTGAGAAGTACCACAAGGACTCTTTTCTATTTTTGAATAACAAATTAAGGTCATGAGCGCCTCGACCATGGTATGTTCTTGCTGATGCTGTTTCCATCAGTTGGTCTGGTGGAAGAAGTTCTTGGCTCTTTTGGAAATCCTTGTCCTAGGGTAGATGGTGCCTACAGTGAATAAGTTGAGGCTCAGATTGATTTAAATGCAGTCTGTCTTGCAGTGTAGATGGGAATGTAGTGTTCCAGTTCTGTCCTTAGATCCCATGCCTTGAGCTCATGCTAATTTTAGAGATATGAAGTATTTTCACAGTGTGATTTCAGTCAGCTTCTCTGCTCCACAGAACTTCCTCAGGCATCAGTGGTGGTCTGGATCACATTCATATTGCCTTATTTACTGAGCACTTTTGAAAGCATCAGACAGCTGTACCAAAAGCTGAGTTATGTATTCCTGGAGTGATGTTTCTGGATGGCAGTTGGATTTCCCTTTTGCTGGAGTATTTTGTGGTAGTGCACTGGGTCTGTCTTCTGCGAAACAGCTATCAACCAGAGCTCTCTAACTTCTCCACCTGTAATTTCCTAAACACTCCCTAATGTGTTGAGCAGCACTTTTCTGGGAGACCCAGTGTCATCCAAAGATGATGTCCCCATCTCCTTGTCAGCATTTCCTACACAAGATGCCATCTCCCAAACGCTGTTCTGGCATCAGTGGTTCATAGGAAGCCTGGTCTGATGGGATAGATTTTGGAGTAACACGCACCCCACAGCTTTGGAGGACTTTCCCTCCTTACTTTCCCATCAGTCAGGTGTGAACCTGCCTGGAAATCTGTCTTGCTGGTGTAAAACTTGAGCCAGACTGCAGTAACCCTTGTGCTCAGATAGGTTACGGTGTTAACGAGCAGGTTAATGTTAGCCTTCTACTAGCACAAGTCTGTGCGTTGCTAAAACTAACCCCTGCATGCTTTTGCTGTCTGCCCTGAGTTTCTCTCCCTTCCCCACTCAGGACAGGGTGCCAGCAGTGGTCTCTGGTTTGCAGCCGGTAACAAGGTGGTGAGGCCGGCTCGTGCTCCTCTGAGAACGGCTGCAGCTGAGCTGCGAGTGCTCCTGAAGCATTTGAGACTCTGCCTCAGGTTAGACACCGTGCAGGTGAGTGCGAGGAGCTGGTGCCCTGTTCTTGGCATCCTGCCACTGTTTTCTCTCCTGCTCTCCCGGCGAGGTCGTTCTTTCTACCTCTTGTCATATTGCTCGCCTGTTTGAATCCCTCTCTCCCTCTCCAACATCTTTCTTCCCTCCTCCTCCCTCACTTCAGCAAATCAGATGTACTTTTTGGCAGAAACAGGAGCCACTGCTCTGTCCAGTTCAAGCCACTTCAACTCTGCCTAGTTTTTGTCCATGTTTCTTTCCTAGAATAAATGGTGAGTGTTAAGCAGAGAGCTGTTTGAAGCGTTAGCAAAGCTGCTTTCTCCTCCTTGTGCCTCTAGCCTCAGGTGAGGGTAGAGGGAAGGCTGAGGGTATGGAGCCAGCTCTCTAATGCTTAATGTTCTGTCCTGTGGAGGAATCCCGGTGCTTGGTACGTGCTGTAGGAGCGAGGCCATTCCCACCCTCAGCAGAGATGTCAGCTCCACATACACGCTGTGGCACCGGCAAGAGTTTGGCAGAACTGCTAGCTCTCCTGTTCCCGTCCCGCTGGAAAACCTGGGTTGGGGGACAGTAGTATGCAGAAAACACCTGTTGCTTAATGGTGATGTTAACCCTTTGGTCTTGGGGGTTAGAGTAACCTGATGAAACATGCTGTACCTTTTGCTTGGCAAAGTGATACCCATCTGCCTCGTGTCTTGCTAGATCGGGGCAGGCAATCAGGCATGTTTTATAACGCCGTTATTCTGTTGCCTGGAGTATGATGTTTAGACATCTGTATTCACGCGAGCGGGTCAGAAGTCCTGATGCAAATGCTACCAGTTATAATCAGGGCTAGGAACGGTCACCCCCAGGTAATAAAGATAGCACCACAAACAGTGATAAAGAGCTAAAAACTCCTTCCACCCCCGACTCCCCAACTCTAGGCCAATGCTCAGTATCTCTACTACAAATCCTCTTATGGTGAGTGAGAATTTCCGCTGCTTCTGCACTCCGGGCAGGATTCACCAGATGTTAATAATGTGCTTATTTTCTCTAAGTGCTATTTTGGCATCGGTGTTAATTACAATTTATATTCTGCAACATTTACACTGGGAAAAGAACCCACCCTAATAGTCCCCAATTGGCAGAGCCGGGCTATTAAACATAGCACCATATGTTCTGAACAGAGCAATATATGGGACTCGGAGCCCACTCAGCGCTGAGACTCCGGCATGCAGTGTTAGCGGAGGAGAGGAGAACGGAGAGACAGGTGTTTTGTTCCTAGCTTTTGTTTAATATGAAATCCCCCCTCCTTTTCTCTGGTCTCTGTCCCCATCTCTCCAGAAATCTCTCTCCCGCTCTCTGTGAGCATCTAATGAGGTGATCTCTGAGCCTGCTGATGCCACTGTCCGTAGTGTAAAATAAATGAATTCAATTACAGAAGGTGCCCTTCTCATAGGGGCTGCCTCTGCAGGATTCCCAGTCCCTGCTGGCGTGTTTCTTGCTGCGCTCCAAATCACACCTCCGATCTTTGGGGACTGCAGACGAAATCTTTGCTTTGACCAGCAACGAGGTGTCCGCGCTTCTTTGGGAGAAGGATATTCTGGGACAAGTGCCATTAGTGGGTAAAATAAGAAGTTGTTTGCTGCTCTGCTGATGTCCAAAGTCTTGTTTAGCAACATGGCATTTGGTTCCTGCAGGCTGGGAGGGTCTAGACCTGAAGAGTGACAGTGGTTTTGGTGTGGGGAATTTGGTGGGGCTAAGTCATCAGTGTTTCGGTAGGTTTCTTAGAAGGACTGTAGGTTAAAGGATTGCTTCCTCAGCTGTTTTGCAACGGTGATTTCATGGTCTCTTTAGAAAATGGCAGTGTATCCACTGCTCAGTTTGGAAAGGTGGCTGTGTGGCAATGGCCTCTCCCTTCAGGAGAACTTGGATTGTAGTTGCTTCTCTGTCAGTGAGATGGTTCGCCCGGAGGAGAAGAGATGGGAATGAAAGGAGGCTGGGCAGGAGTGTGATGTGGACCTCGAACTGGAAGTCAAACACACACTGTGAAACTTGGCCTCAGTTTCCCCACTTGTGAAAGGGGAGGAGGGCTCACCCGCCTTGTGCAAGGGAGCTTGCAGGAGTGCAAAACGCTCTCCCCCTCCCCAGGCGAGGTGGTGCTCCTTTGGGAGGAGAGGGCAGGGCTGGGGTTGTTAATGCAGGTAGCAGAGCAGTGACCCTGCTCACTTTAATTCGCATGACTACCTCCTCCTCTGCCGAGGCATGTGAGACTCCCAGGGGAGCAGAGCAGGATCTGTCCCTTCGCCTTGCTGATCATCAGAGGCGTGAAAGTCCTGGGGCGACGTACAGGAACAGGACTGTGCATTGTGAGGTGCAGGGTGCTTTCTCCCAGCAGCCTTTTTTTAGGATGGGGTATCCCCCCATGGCCACAGAACTGTGGGGCTTTTCTGTTTGTGAAGTTAATTGGTGCAGAAGGGTTGTTCCGTCTGCTTAAGGGAGATGCCATTCCCCTTTGGCCGGTCCCACGGGAGAGTGTCCAGCCAAAGCTCCTCGCCCCTGTCTGCAGGGAGACCTGTGCAGGGAACCACGCGAGCCATGCTGGGTATTGCAGAGGCAAATCTCCTTCCATTGCAGCTCTCCTGCCTCTTTGATTAGATGCGCAGGCAGCCGGGGTACTCTAGCAGGAGAATCATTTCCATAGAAACCAATTGGGATGTTGTACGGGGAATAATGATTAATAGTGAAGGGATGTTGCCTCAGGCCCTTTTCATTTTTTAGGGGGCAGCGAGGGACAAACTGGAGCACAGGTGGGGGGACAGGCAGGCTCGAAAACTAATGGAAACCATCCCTTCCACTAATTTCCAGGGCAGCTTCCCCTCTTCTCCTCCTGCCCTGCCCCCCACTGCTGCTTCCCAGCTTTCGTCAAATTTTCAAAATGGCTAACCTGGTTAAAAATAATCATAATAATAAAAAAGGATGGATGAGGTCTGACTACTAACATTGTTGCTGTTAGCAGCAGGATTTCAGCCATAAAACATGAAGCAAGGGAGGCATTGACCTTTCCGCTGTTTGAAATGAATGGAGACATCAATATCTATTGTTTTGTGGCATTGACCTCTGACGCTCTCGTTTTGCCCTCCCCGTTCTTTTTTTTTAATTTCCCCCTGACACTCGAGGAAAGGGGTCAGTTTGTACCATCTATTGATCCCGATCTTACTTGGTGATAGGGAAATAATTAGAATTTTAAAGATCTCTGCTACACGCTGGCAAAATACATACACAGACGTGCACACTAAGACCCCGCTTCCTGCATTGCGTTCTCCCCCTTTCCTTGCGGAGATTCAAAGCTCTGAGATCTGAAGGAAGACAGATCAATATAGGTTTAATCATGATGGGGTTTTTATTTCAGTTTTTTAAATGGTAAAGTGTAATGTTTTATGTTAATGTTGTCGGAGTCTGGCTGCCTGGTGCCTTGTTTTATTTATTGTTTTAAGTAGCCCCTTTTGTGAACTTCATCTATGTACAGAGAATGTGAAATCAGGCATTGCTAATTAGCTGTATGACAATTAAGTAATGTAGCACAAAACCATTAGGACACTGGATTTGTTTTTGAAGTTTGTCCTTTGAAGTGGAAGCTGCAACTCC